AAGAAGAAGGGGAAGAAGGAGAAGAAGGGGAAGAAGAAGAAGAAGGATTTGATGAAGATCAGGAGAATTACAGGGAGGAAGAAGAACCTGGTGAAGATGAAGAAAAATTTGGCAAAACATCCCGTGCTGAATTGGAAGGAGGGGTTGAAGATGGGTTTTTGAGGATAGATGATTTAGAAATGTTCTTGGAGGAAGAAGAGAGAAGAGAGGCTGGAGGAGTAGAGGAGAAACATGAGGAGGACAGTGAGGAGGATGACTTGGACGAAGATGAGGTATGAAACTTGGCATTAAAATTTCATTTTCTCCTCTGTCTTATGAATGCTCCTATTCCCTGTTTTCCTGTATTTTGATTGGAAAAAGGGAATTACTCATGTAATTTGGCATGAGAGTTCCTTTGAATGTTGTATTGTGGCTACAATCAAATTATGAATGAAATTGGGGATTTGGCACATATAAACGACCCTTCCATTATGTAGAAATTTTGGATGGGGAATATAAGAGAGGATTATGAGGATATGATTTGCATATGCATTGTTGTGAATCAGCTTCTAGACATCTTACTGCTTTTGATGCATTGGTTTGTTAACCTTTACGTGCGAAATATAAAAAATATAACAAAAACAGCACAGTCAAGACATGGATTTTAAAAGTTACATGCTACTACTATTTGTGCGTTTGTGTATAGACCATAGACACATGCATATAATTGTTTTACACGTAGAGATATTGCATCAAATTAACTTGGCATGCCATTTTATTGATATATCTTTCATGACTTACAAACAGAAGGAAATAAACATGCAGGATGCAAAAAGGAATAATTGCATATATATACCCTTTGAATGAAGGGAAAATTGCAGAAAATCCCCTAAAATATACTTTCTAGACACTCTACCCCCACCCTAAACTTTCCTCACTTCTTTTTCTCAAAAACCATCTTTTCTAACTAATACCCCCAACTTAAAAAAGAAAGAAATAAAGATAAAATTACCCCCCTTTTTAACTTCTACGTTAAAAAGTGCGTTTGCGTAGGCAGTCCAGCATTTTGTGACCGTCGATCTGGCATTTGCATAGGCAGTCCAGCATTTTGTGGGTGCGGTCCGGCGTTTTGCGTACTGTAATAAAATCACTCTGGCGTTTTGATGCAGTTGTTTGACAGTGTATGTACACGGTCCGGCGATATGTTTACTATAATGTGGGTAGTCCGGCGATTTGAAGTAGAGCTCGGGCAATTTACTTACTGGAATGGGGTTAGTCCAGCGTTTGCAATGTGCGGTTCAACATGTGTTTCTGGAAGGATGTTAAGTCCGTCGTTTCATAGCTTTGCTCCGACGTTAGGGTCGATCTATTCGGCATTGGAAGGATGCAGTTTGGCAATATCTTACTGGCGGTCCGGCGTTATAGAACTTCGCTTTGGTGATTTTACTACTGGAGATGTAAGTCCGGCATTTCATGGTCTCGGTCCGGCATTTTAGATACATGAGTGGGGTGGTCCAGTGTTAGTAGTCTACGATCCGGCGTATCACTGTCTAAATAAGCAGTTCGATATTGTAGAAATGCAGTCGGACATATGTCGTAAGTCTGCCAAATAACAACCGCGTTCCGGCGCAAGTATTATTGGGGTATGTCCAAATGATTTGTTCGTACGATGAAGGTACGGGAAGGGGTATTTTTGTCAAAAAAGATATCACTTTTTGAGTTGGGGGTTATTAGTTGGAAAAGATGGTTTTTGAGAAAAAGAAGTGAGGAAAGTTTAGTGTGGGGGTAGAGTGTCTAGAAAGTATATTTTAGGGGGTTTTCAACAATTTTCACTTGAATGAATCATTATGGTTTTATGCATTTCTCTATTGTTAAGTCACTTGTTTGTTGGCATGCCCTTCTCATTTTATATCGTTATCCATGTGGCTGCCCCATTCTCCCCCCGAACCAATACATCTGTTAGACAGTGCCTGCCCACTATTCCCCACTTCCTCTGCGCATCTGGTCCATGAAGCTCCACGTTTTCTCCTCCCCATGGGCTAAGAGGATCTCATCCTTTCCACACTTGATAGGTATACCAGGAGTGACCCCCATTGTCTAATTCTACCTTCTTGTCCCTTAAACTCGTATAAAGAATTTTTATGAAGGAGTCAAATTAAATTCTGCTATGCTAGCATTGCACTCAACTCCTCACTAGAATGTGGCTTCCCTCTAAAAGCTTGACCAGGATTTGGCCGTCCAGGAATAAGCTAGTAGATAAGCCATCTCTCTTTTACCTTCCAGCTGATGGAATGAATAATTCTAAATGTTATGATTGCTAGTGCTGAAAAAACCTTTAGTACATCTTATCATTGGTTCCAACTATTTCGGTGAATAACAATTCCCAACCTATGGATTGAGGATCTCGGAATCCTTGTTTCTTTTGATTTTATAGTAACTTGAATAGTGTCATCCTTTAGTGTAAAGATCTCATTACCACTGGGAAAGGGTATTCTATTCTGTTAAGTTCTTCACTTGTATCACTAATTTAGGTATCGAAGGATAGAACTTATCCACAAGGGTAAAACTTTCGTTTTGGAAGTTTTATGAGGCTAGGACTTAGTTCCTCTACTCTATGTTTCACTGCTTGTTCTCTAGCTATTACCGTTGATTTTCCTTTCCTTGATTCCCCAAAGCCTGGCTCCTAAACTAAATTACGGTTTCTCATGGGGATCACAACATATTTCTTTTCATTCCTCCTTCACAGTTTAGTCACTGCTCTCTACCTCCATCTCCATCTACAAAAGCTTGTTTCATGACACCTAAATGCACAACCGCTAATATAGACCTTCATTGAAACAATATGCTAGTCTTTACCTTTGGTGTTCAGTGTGCCGGTGTTGAACTATAGTGTCTGAATGCTCATTATTTGATTTGTGATTAGTATGATCACTCTCCAATATATACACTTTATCTTTATTGCCATATTTGTTTCTGTTTTGGGACCCAAGGCGTGCAATTTGAGTTTATTAGTGTTCTCTCTGAAATATTATTATCCACAATGCATTTAGTTGGACAGATTGGGGTTGGTTCTTCTTATTAACTTTTATTTGGAATTCAGCTGTATGCATTTTTTGATTTATAGGAGGTAATAAAGGAGTTTGAACTTTACAATTATTCCTTTTTCTTTTGTAATATAGATGTACATGGCCTAATTATCAAAAAATGAAAGATGTAAATAATGTGAAGATTTTGTGACTTGGGTAAATACCTTATTGATAAAATGCATTTTTAAGAGTTAATAGAAGAGTTTAGAGTATACACCATTTTTTAATGGTGAGTTTATATAAGGACTCACTTACCCAAAAAAGATTATATAAGGACTCCCCCTTAAATAATCAAAGTGATGCCCACCTTCAAAATCCACTAGAAGATGCATTTTTGGTGCCAGAAACCTTACAATGACTTGAAAATCTTTTTCAACCCCTCATTATAAATTTGAAAGTTCCAAGAATCGTGCAGGTCAAGTAGATCTATAAACGCTTAAAAATCTTAGAGTGGACAGCCCATATAATGGGTTGCACAATGCACTCTTTTTAGGACTTGAAATCTTTTTTTTTATTCATATCCAACTATCCATACGTCTTGAGGTTGAGCTTCCAGCATCAGACCTAACCTCTTTTGGTGGGGTTGAGGTGCACCTTACTTCTATAGTTTAAGGTTGACACTTTATATAAACTTGGGAAAGTTATCAAACTACACTTGTGAGTTTAACTAGTTAACATTGTATCCTTAATTTTTAATCTAATTTCAAATTTCCCTTCTTTCTTGATCAAATTTGAAACAACCCATAAAATGACAATACAAATGCATTTTGAAATTTATCAAAATACACCTAAGGTAGAATGTTACTAGTTCAGATGTTAAGTGTATTTTGATAAATTTCCCTATAAACTTTTTCCTTTTTTAAAATAAAAGATGCAAATGAGCTGAATATTCTTTGAGGGCTAAATGGAAAGAAATATTTGCAATATGATATTTAGAAAGTATGTTTCATAAAATGTAATAGTTACCATTTTATCACAGGATTTTTACAACCAAAAGGATTTAACTTTTGTGTTTTGGCAACTGGATCAAATGTACAATTCTGTATTGTGGGATTACTAAATCTGTTCTCTTTGTGTAGTTGTCTCAATTATTTTGCAATCCCAGGAAGGTTAAAGGTTTAATTTTCTCATGCGAGGGCAAAAAAGATCCCACCATCCATTCGCCCCTTCCCCCCTCAAAATAAATAAGCAAAAAGAAAAAAGGGATCTTTCATTAATTAATTAACGGGACAATAGTTTAATCCTCATCCTATTTATCCATTAAAAAAAAAAAATCATCACACTATCTATCCATCTTGCATGGCATAGAGAAAGGAAGTTCACTGGCAAACTTGATACTTATACCCATACCCAATTGGCCAATGCCATGTCTTTATATGGAAGTTTCTATCTTCTCATTTATGTCATCATTGTGCCTAGCACTTGGTAGAAATCTATTCTTTTGTAATATTGCTAGTTGTGTTTATAACATATGTAGAATATAATAATCAAATTTATTGTATTTAATAATTCAAATAAATGATCAAGAGTTCAACATATTGCAATAATATCTGAATAAAATTTAATTTACTTGTAACAATTGTCATTTAGTATGTATGTTAGGATAATAATAATTGATAGCCCTATATCAGGATGCATTCTATACCTCTATTTGTGTTGTTAATTCACGTAGCAGATTAAAACTTTCTTTTCCTGCCAATGAAGGAAACTCTCATTCATGCATCCTTGGTGCTTGAAACTCCGAGATTATTCTGGGCTTCCTCATATTCAACTTTATTAGGCTATTACCGTAATAAGTATGTCACTATTTTTGAGAGTTTTCTGAACTACCTTTTTTTTACAATTTTTTTGAGAGTTTTGATTCTGGTGTTATTTCGCGTTGCTGCTAATGTCATGTCTGATTTTGTAGATTGACGACGACGATGAGATTGATGGTGATGATGAAGTGGATGATCACAAGAAGAATCCCAGGTGGTTCTCTTTTCCTCCTGTGAATTTGAATTTGGCTGAAACTTTTTCTATTGGTTTATCTGTTCACATTTGGCAAATAAAGGACTACTCTATTAATTATTTTGATCATTCGATAAAGTATGTCCCTCATTATTCTATGCAAGATGGACCTCAATTACTGCCTGATGAATGTGGTAATGGTCACTGCTATTTAGATATAGGGCTTCAGCAGTTCTTTAAAAGAGCATAGTGTGCAGAATTTCATTGATTATTGGTTGAAATGGAGTGCAAAATCTAATCAAAGAGTGCTTAAACGCATAGGTCAGGCCTGCCTGATACTGGTATTGTGTTTGTTGGGCTTGGAAAGAAAGAAATTACTTTAGTTTGCTCTCTAGTATTATGTACATGTACATGCACATGTAAAACTCCTTTTGTCTTTCCTGTTTGTTTTATCGCACACATTATTATCATTGGTAAATTCTAGAGCTATCGAGCAGGCAATGGGGCTCTTTTTTTTCACTACCCTCCCTTCCTTTTCATTTTTCTGTCCTTTTTTTCACTGGGGTGAGGTGGTGGGTGGGGGGTTACAAACTGTGAGAGATTTAGGGAACCAGTAGGGTCCTGGAAATGGTGAATGATCCTAAATAGGAGGGCCTCTAATCAGTAGCTAATTATTAAATCAGGTTAATGCCGATTTATCTAATTAACAACACCTCCTCAAATGGGCATAGGTTGGAGGGCTTTGTTGCGAGCCTATATTTTAATGTATTAGAGACAGGACACATTTGATCATGTCAGAGAAATTTAGTTAATACCATTTTACATCTAATTAATTTATTCTTGCCTAAAATTAACATGAAGATTTGTGCATTACACGTCAATATGTCATTTGCAGTGGTGATGGAGCATATCTGCACCATAATCTAGTCAGCTAGTATATGGTACTGGACTGTTTGTGCATTGGGTATGCATTCTCAATGGTTTCTAAAATTTTATGTAAATATATTTGATTTTTTTTTACAATATTTTGATATTTTCTAATCCAGGTTTATTATTTCTTTAGATTTATAGCTTATGTTACATTTGTATCCTTCAATCATGCCAATGCTTGACAGTGGTTGCTGCATAGTGTTGAGGCATATGAGATGGTTTGCATGCAGGTTTAGTGACCTAGGCTTTGGAAGTTTAACCTTTATTTAAGTTTTGGCTAGGAACTAGTTTCTTTCCTTTTTTTGCTTTCGGCTTAGTCAAAAAAGAAAAATACTGCTCTTTCCATGAAGTTGCATAAAGAGCAAACAAAAGTGTGCTTTCAGCCATGGGTGTATGTATACTCATACTTCCACGTTATTCATTAGGTTTCACGCCTGCTGGTTATGAAGTTTGCTATAATGTAATGTCCTCTGGAGGAAATTCTTGACTGTGGATTAGGTCCTTTGCTATAACAATATGTTTAGGAGGTTTTGAAAGCCCTTAGAGGCATGTTAAGAGCTTAGGAGTGAGAACTAGAAGGGATTTTAGTACTGATGGATTCTTTTCTCTTGGATATGACTCAAAAGGGGGTTGTAAGCATGGTTTCCAGGATCGCCCAAGAAGGTGGTTGCTCCAGCTCCACAAGCTCGTTCCTACAGTCTGGGACAAGGGATCTCAATTCCAGGCTTTTTTTGAATTTAGAATCTTGATCTGTAAAATTGGGGATCTTGATCCCTAGGTAATGGAATTAGGTCCCTCTCATCCAAATCATGGGTCCATTAGTAGAATTGAGCCTTCACCAACATGGAATCGAGTTTCTTTTACATTGGTACTGAAGATTACCAGCACATTTTGAGTCTCATGCACTAGATACCCCTCCGTTTCCCAACCCATCCTCTCTCTACCCAACCCATCCTCTATCTAACTTTCTATCCCCACAATTTCGCTCTCTCTCTCTTCTGTGCAAGAGCATATTTCTCTAAAAATTCAAAAATCTGAATTGGCTTTCAGCATAGGGATCCACCAGTTGAGAAATAGTTCCAATGCCCACAACAACAACTAGGGTTTGAAGCTTCAAGTTTGCACTTTGAACTTGTAAGTCACGAAAGTAAACATCATAATATACATGCTGCTGCCATATTATGCTATGGAACCCATAGATGAAGGATAGCAGTTTTAAAGCTAAAACCACCCGCATACAGCTCAAGTGGGTGGCGAAGGCAACCAAGCCTTTCTCGTGTCTCATACTCTCTTCACGAACTGCTAATTGACGGAACAAGCTGCCTTGCCCTTCCCCATGTCCTTACCTTGAGTCCCTTTCATTTTGCTTATTGGAGGCCCTATAGGTTTTTATACAATTAATCTTCGTCTCTGATGCCCTCTTGTTGACTATGTCCACCATTTCAGAGACCTTTGCATGTTCACCTTTCTTTGCCTCTGGACCATTTTTTCCTCTCTGAATCTAGAGAGCATTTGACCATTTACATTCGAAATCACATGCAAGTGAAACGACCCAAACGAGGGAAAACAAGGGCACCATATTTTCATCAAATACTAGAGCCGCTTTCATGTGTGAGGACTGAAATCTGAATCCTCATTTTGGGTTTTCATTTTCACTTCTCATTTATAAAACACACTCTGATGATAACAAAAATTTTTAAAATATTTTAATAATGGGATTCTTTGTATTCAATGATACTTCCGTTTTTGAATTCAGAAAAAGCATCAATCATATTGTTCAACGGACTTTGTTCCCGAGCTAGAGTATCCTAGTTAAGTGCACTTGGGGAGCCTTGATTCTAAGCTGGACGGACATCCATATTGGATACTTAATTATTCCTGGACAATTTTGGATCGCTCTCTTCATATTAGGATCATGATCCCTTCAACTTTCGGTGAACGAATCTTGGTCCTTATCCCACTGATCTTTGTGTATCTTTTAGTCCTACAGTCCCGATCCTGATCTGGGATCTGGCCTTGCTCCTCATAACTATGGTTGCAAGTTCCCGAACCGTTGTTTGGAAGTGGAGGAGTTTGGTTTGTCTGCCTCCCAACAAAAGAACTTCAAGAAAAAATGTAGCTGGGAAACTATTGGAGCTTTGAAATCCATTGAAGGATGTATATGTGAAAGTAGACAAATTTGGATCGCTCTCATCATATTAGGATCATGATCCCTTCCACTTTCGGTGTACGAATGTCGATCCTTATCCCACTGATCTTTGTGTATCTTTGAGTCCTGCAGTCCCGATCTTGATCTGGGATCTGACCTTGCTCCTTGTAACTATGGTTGCAAATTCTCGAACCATTGTTTGGAAGTGGAGCAGTTGGTTTGGATGCCTCCCAACAAAAGAAATTCAAGCAAAAATGTAGCTGGGCAGCTAGTGGAGCTTTGAAATCCATTGAAGGATGTATATGTGAAAGATAGGTGATAGTGATAAGGGGCTCATGGCTTAAGATTTGAAACGTTTGGGGTTTTTAAAGTCAGATTGTGTATGGTAACTTTTCTAATTGAGGAGGGTTTAGAGTAAGAAAGTCCTGCCTAAGGTGACGCTCTTATTTTTTTCCTCACTTTTAAGGTGAAATTATAATGATTAATTATCTTAAAAACTATGGGCTTCTTATGGAAAATGTTTTAAAGATTATGGTCTGTGGCTCACTTGTTGGTATACTAGAAATTCTCTCAGAAAATTTGAAAGTATTTGTCGACTTGTTCACAGACAGTGCTATGTATGACTTTACATGCATTTATGTAGCAGTTGATATTCAAGCACTAAATTAAAATGGAAGTGTGTAGATGATGGATTTGTATTCAAGCAAGTGGGTGGAAAGGAAATCACATTAGGGAGAACTGATAAAGACACGTATGAGGTTCTTAAACACTACAAATGAAATGTCATTGGTTGAGATTGAGTGTTCTAAAGATTTCTGGTGGATGAAATGAAGAGGCAGTGACCTTAATTAATGATGAAGGGATTCGATGAAGAAAACATAAAATAAGCTATTTTCAGGCAAACACAAGCACTCATATTGAAGGAACTTGAGGTTTCTCCACCACAACATCCCTAACTAGGACTCACCAAGCATAAAGCTTTGTTTTTTCTCTAAAAACTCGTGTGGATGACCCTAGGCCTTCACGCACCTTTATTTATATTTTAACTGGGATACAAAAGTCCAAAATAACCTTAGCCAAAATAAAATTGACAAATAGTCCCAACTTAAATGCAAAATTTATAATGACATTTCTACCCTTGATAAAACAAAATATCCCATAGTCACTCTTAACTATTTTTTTAAGCAACTCCTAAAATCCTGAAATATAAAAAGAAAGAAAGTAACCTAGAAATCCTAAAAAAGAACTTAAAACACTAAAACTTCCTACAATACATTCTTAAAATTTAAGAAGAAAAATTCAAACATAAGATCTTATCCTACATGATAATCCCGTGGTTGGAGAAAACTCATCCTCTAATTTTGAAATAGGTTAAGGTGAATTCTTTGCTTAGCCCTTGATCTTCTTCAACCCGAACATTGTAAACATGAACTTGGGACTGGTGGGTTAGACTCTGACGAACCAAAACACAATGATTGTGCATTGGGATTGGGTCTTTGCAATCTGTTGATATATTCATGAACAATTTTGAGTAACCCTCGAGGAAATGGTCATTATATGTTGATAGAATAATTGCAATATATACGCTCCGTTTAATTACATAAACAAGCTGAAATTGCATCAGTTCAACCATGTAACTCTACTGAAATTACCTTTGGTTCAGCCCTAGAACAGACCAAAGAAGCATCTTTGAGATGAGTACTAGATTCGATAGTCGAACCAATAACTTCACCTATTGATTCTCCTTAGAGTTCTTCGTCTTTTTCTTCATCAAATATCAATTCAACCACAAAATCGTGTTCAATATCATAGATTGGATCTCCTAGAAGATCCTATTCTTCATCTGAGCATGTGTAAAAGATTGGTGGTGAATCCGATGTCCAACTTGGTGATTTTGGATACAACCAATATTATCGCAGCTTCCCTCATCAATAAGGAGATT